TTCGGTCCACCAAAGAGTCAGTAGTCCGCACTAGATCAGAGTGACGGACATCACATACATGGTATGGTGGGTCTTTATCGACCTACCGAGTCAGTAGTCCGCACTGATCTAGTGCGGACTACTGACTCTTTGGTGGACCGAAGACCTCCGACGAAGACGAGTTGTTCGAAACGTTGGGTTGATAAAGATCCAACATACCAACCTGTGCGGCATTAGAAATATTAGAACATCAAACTTACAGTCGAAGATGCCCAGGTTTCAAGACGAGAACACATGGAGAAAAGCATCTGCTTTCTTTCGCCAATCCATCCGGCTATCTCCTTCTCCACACTTCATGTCTTCCCATGCCTTCCTGCTTCACCCAAGCCTCGTGTTGTGCTGCGTTTTCGCACCGGTATGGAATCACACCTGAATGCTTCGGACTGAGTCACAGCCATTTTTCGCCGTAAAATGAAAAGGAGCTTTACTGTCATTTTTACACCAAAATGTGCAAGTGGTTTGATCGACGATAATGGCAAGTCATTTTCATTGCAAGGTACCAAAAATCAAAGATTGATGAGCGGTTAGGCTTGAAACTTTGTAGCCTTATAGTTTACGTAAATATGTTTGAAATGAGTGTATCTTCCACTTTTACATGAGTTACGGAAAGCACGGCTTAGTGATAATGCGGCAATTGAAGGCGCCAAAAAGTGTTAATAGGCATCATGTTCCTAAGACATAGCCTTTTTATTGAAACATCTTCTCATTGAGATTTGTCATTTCTCATTATTTTCCGTTTCCCAATACTTTCTTGGAATCTATTAACGAGGGGCACCAAGGAAGCTATGACCGGTTCAGCTTTTAGCCCTCATATCGAGATGCTAATAGCCCACAGTTTAGTTCTCTGTATGATTCAAACATTTCGCTTCTCTTCTGTGGTGATTAATGGCTGACGGTGACGTGAGGCTAAGCCCGCTCCCAAAACCAAATCTACATGTGAAGAGAATTAGTAAGAATATGGTTTAGTAGAAAAGCTAAACCAATCATTTATTTCTTCGATACTTTTTGTAGACAGAAAATTCGTAGAACTTCAGGTGTCGCTTGACTTTCCTGTGATCCTGTGTTCTTGACACTTTTTCTGAGGCCTATCTCTGGAAGTTACAGATCCTGTAGTGTTCTCTTTTTGTTCCCTGAGTTCTAAGGACCATGTTTTGCACGTTCAGTATTCACTTCTTCATCACTTTTTCCGTACCTGATAAGTAATGAAGACGCATATTCATTGCATTGGCAAGGGTGACATGGGTAAACAGGTGAACAGATCATTATTGGAGACATTACTTGATGCATCTCAAATTAGTTCCTACCTGTTTATCAAACCTTAGGCGTAGTGTTCGCTTGTCGACCAAAACAAAGGAGATGTGTTATCGGCAAAAAAAAGTTTTGGCGCACTTGATGTGTCGTAGTCTTTTCGTTCATGAGGAAAGACGCCGCCAGCCTAATGGTCTAAAATAAGTGTACATAGAATTTGAACATAATTACATGTTTGACTCGTATTTCAATAAAAACGATAGTTATAGATTATTGATTAGGCTGAGGCTTTTCAAGACATGAGATGACATTTACGTCAACGCTACATACCTATCCACATACCTTACACTACGGGCTATGGCAAAATCTTGTTTCCATTTGTCATGAATCCAATGGAAATGTATGTCAACTGGTTATGTTATAAATAACCAGTTGACATAAACAACCGCATCAGAGCACAAATAACTAAGTAATAGATTGCAAGGCTTCATGAATGTATCAGTGCAATGCATCAGGTGAGATCCTTACGAAAAACAAAACTTACAACAAGACCTAGCCGCTCTTCTCAGTTTACATGCGATGACAAAGCGAACATGGATTAATAAAAAGGATCACATAGCCACTTAATGTGCACAAAGGTTAAAAAGATCACTTATTCTCCGGTGCGGAAGCCTGTGGGCGTTTATGACTTCCCTCCTCTTCATGTTGCGGCAAGCCGAAGCCGTGTAGCTCATTATGAGCATGGAGTGACGATACAGCAAAACAAAGCAAAGAAATAGCATCAACGTCACAGTCACGACACGAAATGAAAAAGGATGGTGATACACTTGTTGCCGGTAAACTCTTAAATGCCAACGACATATCGTGAAAAAGAGAAATGAATATAAGTCGACATCATGAACATCAGGAACCATAAAGGCTTGACCACGATGACATCATCACAGGAAAGAATAGCGATATTGACTGATGATGAAATTATCTTCACAGCAAACTTTATAACAGATCAACCTGATCGCAAAATCACAAAAAATGACGGAGTTGAACAATTTCCAAAAACTTAGAGAGAAGTCACCCGATAAAGAAAAACCTCGAGAAATGTGCATTTTATAAAAAAGACGATTTCAGACGAAAATCAGAAAACATGAATTCTATCACGAAACAGTGTCGCAAAGAGCAGTCTCTCGAACAAATCAAGGAATCAGATCGATCACAATTCCCTTTAGGGATGCCTTGACAGCTCATGAGCACAGTTTTGAGATCTTCGTCTCATGTTGATTGCGGTAAACTATAGCTTATTTTAATTGAACACTTCGACTTGATCTTTGCTTCATTACTTCTTTATAGATGAGCTTTGAGCCAGTTGTGTTTGAAGATGCTTAGGCTATCGAATATACCACAAGCTGTACCGGTTAGTTTATGGAGTCAAAAGGGTAAGTTGACTAACCACAAAAGTTACAATAATTCTCATAAGGGCCTCTTTGGTGAACGTTTAGTCATTGTAAGAGGCCAGACTTTCGGAACTTCATATAACGAACTTAAGTGTGCACAATCTCGTATCGTTCTGTGAAAATGAAAATTACTGATCCACCACTCTTTTTCATCATTTTTATTTGATCAAAGTAGCATTAGCTAATCTTTTCAGACGAAATCTATTATCTATAACGAGTCATTCTTTAGCGCGACCCCTTTCCCTCAAGCCGTGCTTGATCGCATGCCAGACTCTGCTCACAGCGCAACTACTAGTACCATCCACTTTGAGTTTTCTCCATAATTCGCAGTTCTTTCAACAATTGCCTTCCCTATATCTCCTTACTAGCTTGCATACCCGGCTCCGCCCGGCACCACCTTCGGCGAAAAAAACCGGAGTTTTTCTCCTTAAGAAGAGGAATACAACTGCAGAAATGCAAAAAAACGATATCGATAAAAGTAACAAATAACTTCAAAAACCAATATTCGTGTTCGTAATCCATGTTCGACATTGGTTTAAAATGGAATCTATTCGAAACATACGTAAAGGCTACTGCATGACGAAGGCAGAAGCAGTTTGAATTGAGCGGGTGCAAACGCGGCGCGCGCGTATCCTCACCGTTTCAAATCTTGTGCCTCATGCGCTCTGCGGCTAATAAAGCCGCGTTCGCGCCCAACGGTATTGCGCCTTCGTCATGCAGCAGGCTATACCCACATAGAGACAGACATACAGACGTATAGGACGTTCGAAAAATCGTGACGATGGCGCGACCGCGCACGACACGCACGGACTTCTGGCAACCACATTTCCTTTGTTTTCATCTCTACTTGAACGGTTTTTTTCCTTAAGTATGATAACACAGATTTCTCGCAGATTTCTTTTATTAACAACAATGTCACAATAACAGTTTCAACGTACGTATGTCCGAAATCAGTCAAGGCTGAAGATTTCATTCACCATCGGATCCATGTTCTCTTTCCACTTTTTCTTTTTCTCCTGCAGCGCAGCTCGCACGGCTCTCACAATAAAGTCGACTTCCAGATCCGCCTCAGGTTCTTCATTCACTAGAGGAGTTTGGGCGTTTTTGAGTGCTTTTGAGCGCTTTTGGCCACTTTTGAGCAAAGTCCGGCCGAGGCCTCAAGCTCATTATTTTCCGGTTGACATTTGGCTATTTCGAAAACGAAAATTTGTTCTTGCCACTGAGAAATCAAGAAAGAATCATTTCAGAGGTGATAATACTATTCAAAGAGTTCCTTGCAAAGCAAACAAAATGAAATCAAAAACTCTTGCAACTGCATCTAATTACCGGCCCTCCAATGTGCTACGAATCCTTGCGACTGCACAGCTTCATCGCTGCTGGAGCGTAAGACGACCATATTTGAGGAGGACATCATCTCGTTTTTGCTCTTTGCACTCGACAGAATTGTAAACCAAACTGTAAGGTAAAATCCTTCTTTTTATCATATGGAATGCATCTTACCGATGCAATTACCCTCTGTGCAGACATACTTTTCAAATTTGCCTAGCCTGATTAAAAACCGCTTTGCTCGAAAAATTATGCGAAAGCAAGTTTTCATCGCCCAATGATGCCACTGAGCAGGAATTTTCAAAAACGTTCTGCAGTCTTGTAAAGTATTCATATACTAGCTGGTTCACCCGGCTCTGCCCGTCCCTGTCAAAACACTGTAATAAAGGTCCCATCCCTATGCCTGTACAGCCTTTCCCTGTGCCCCCACTTCTACACTTCATTTCCCGTTCCTTATGTTGTTTTCGAAATCAGCATGCCCATTTACCCCCCCCCCCCTGTGCCAACTTCCAGCCCTTCGGCTCAGATTTTGAGGAAAAAAACGATAAAATTGATAAAAGTAATAGGTAATGCAAGCAATCTTCCATGTCAAAATTTCTGGATGTTCGGTTTTGGCGAGCTGCTGCCTTTGATAGTTCGAATTGGAAAACAACGTAAGTTCGAAATTCTAATCAAGGCTGAAGATTTCACCCAGGGATCAGTAGTGTTCTCCTTCGAATTCTTCTTTCTTTTCTAGAAGCGCAACTCGGCTTTCACTATGCACTCGAGCCCTTGGTCCGACTTCGCTTCTGGGCTGACCATAAATCCAGTGGCTGCTAGTGCTGGCCTTGGCTGGTGCTGGTTTAGGCGCTTGTGGGGGATTCGGAGGCGAACATCTACAAAAAGATTTAGCCAAACAACCATTTCCATCAACTTACCTCCTTTTTGCAAGGAAGTATTTCAGTCTCTTCTAGGTCTTTTCGGGCGTGCCTCACGCAGTGTCTTGCAAATTTTGTCATCATCGATCACGAGATACTCGCCGTCGATTGCGCTGATGCATTTAAATGAATCCGATATCTTAATTCTTACAGCTTCATAACTGATGCTGAGACTGAAAAAAAAAACGACCTCAGACTCCGCTGCCTTATATACCCCGGGGGCGAGGCCAAAGGGCGCCGGCGGGCTCTGATTGGCCGCCTTGTCATCAGGGCCTCCACTGTAAAACCGGGCGTTGGGCTTGAAGATAGGGGGTTTGATCAAAGTGTCTATTCAAAACTTAGAACTTCTTTCGAAAAAACTATTCAGCGTTATGTACGATTGCTTTCCGAAATGTCTGCGTCATTGCTAGTTATCAAGATTGCTCTCTACTTTACTGGACCTTCAAAAAGGTTCCCATTCATCTAGATTAAGTACCTGATAGCTGGCTTACCCGGCTCCGTCCGGCCCTGTCAAAAACGACAAAGGTTCCATTTCTATCCCTGTACACCTTTCCCTGTGCACACATCTACATGGAATTCCCTATTCCTGCTGTGTTAGTAATCAGCATGCTCACCTACCTTCCTCACCAACCCCCTCTCCCAGCCCTGTAGCTCAAGCTTTGCAAAAAAAACAACAATGAAATCGATAAAAGTAAGGGTAATTCTAAAAATTGATGGCGCTATTCGGCTATCCGGGCCCCAAAATGTTGCGACGGACCTTGCTCAAAGGTATATGGGGGTTATTTGAGCCGCTGATGACAAATATCGTAGTCATTTCGCGTGGCAGCGAGTAAAAATCATAAACCTGCCTGAAACCTTGGCAGGGAATTACCTAAAGTGCTGTTTCAAGAATATCGTGCTTAATCCCCATGATAATGACAATTCTTGTGGTATAAAAGTTTCCGACGACCGTAATGCTTTCCTTATAGGACCACTGCCGCGCGCGATACACCCTTCGGCGGCTTTTGCCTAAGCAAAAATAGGGAGAGGGAGATTTGCCGCGTGCGTTACACGTTGGGACAGGTCATCAGGAGACTGCCATGCAAAACAACCTTTCCCCATTTCGTGAATATCTGGGATCTAAATTGGCCCGAAAGCGAAAAAATGTCCATTCAAACCCTACAACTCACCATAACTTCACAATAATGCGTTATGACAGCGAGCAAGGATCATATTCATAAGCAGTATGCTGTGAACCGTTACAGGTAAGGTTTTGAGCAAATCTGGAACTTCGACCCATCTACTGTACACCCACCGTAACCCAATAAAATGCGCTATCCTGCGGAATCAGCATGATATTTATGTTCAGCGCGCTAAGTGACCACACTACCCTAGACGAAGTTCAAAGCAAATCTATGTTTTCGTCCCCATACCGTATAACCAGCATAACTCTATGAAAGGTCCCAACATGCAGAGAGAGTATGAAATTCGTAATCAGCATGCCGAATAAGTTCTCTGGACCAAACTCCTGCCGAATTCATGATTTTGACTTCCTACCGTACACCTGCCGTAACCACACGGGGAGAGTTCTACGGAGAAAGTGTGATATCCGTAATCAGCATGTAAGATAGCCCTCATAGACGAAGTTTGAGCAAGCTCACGACAAAAAAAATTTTGAGGCCTGGATAGCCGAATAGCGTCAAACTAATATTGTGTTCGTAATCAGCATGCTCGATTACCCCACTGTGCCAGCTCCCAGCCGAGTAGCTCAAACTTTGCAAAAAATCGAAAAAATCGATAGAAGTAATCGATATTCCTGAAAACTAACGTACTCGGAATCCCCATGCTCGATTACCCCCTGTGCCAACTCCCAGCCCGTAGATCAAACTTTGCAAAAAAATCAATAAAATTGATACAAGTAATGGATAATTTCAAAAAGTAATGTTGTATTCGTATCAGCATGCTCGATTACCCACCCCCCTGTGCCAACTCCCGGCCCCGTAGGTGAACTCTGCAAAAATTCGATAAAAATCGATAAAATCGATATCGACTGATGACGAAAAGTAGCCTATGACACCCGCCGCAGCCCGAAGTTTATGTGTGCAAAGTTTGGTCCGGATCGGTTTAGAAATGAAATTTTCTATTTGGAACATACGTACGCACAGGCAGACAGACATACAGACAGACATACATACAGACAGACATACATACAAACAGACATTCAGCTATATATATATAAGATGTTTACCCACATATACAATGTGTGCATGCAAAAATTCAACAATTTCTAAAGGTTTATTAGAACCTGAAATCCAAAAGAGTGCTTCATAAACAAAACATTTTTCAGAATACCCCAAAAAAATCCTCGCTCCAGATTTCGCCAAAAAATCAAGATTGTTGTGATTTCAAATGATCACTGTACTCTTTCAATATGTTTGATCGTGGCATTAGCACTCAAATTAATTTAGGGAGGCTGTTTAATAATCAGCGCACTCGCTTATCCGTTACCGAAATCCAGTCCCAGATGACAGGAGAAATATTTTGATTCAGGATTGAGGATGATAAATAAAGAATAGCTCGTTCGAATAAGCATAACCAAATACCAACTTACATCTTTCTAATCTAAGGCTCTAAAAAACAAAGTATTGGATATTCTCACAAACAGCCACTACATTAATCAGCATGCTCGATCACCCCTCTGTGCAAACTCCCAGCCCCGCGCGTCAGAATTTACATCGATAAAAGTAGTGGATAATCTCAGAAGGTAATATTGTATTCGTAAGGGTTGGGCCAGACTGCGCGGCGTACGCGACGTACGCAGCGTACGCCGCGTATGCTCCTATGATGAAATATACAGAGCGTACGCTGCGTACGCTGCGTATGCCGTTTCCCCGCGAAGTCTGGCTCAACCCTAATCAGCATGCTCGATTACCCCCTGTGCCAACTCCCGGCCCCGTAGGTGAACTCTGCAAAAAATCGATAAAAATCGATGAAATCGATACGATCGATGACGAAAGCCTATGACACTCGCCGGGGCCCGAAGTGTATATGTGCAAAATTGGTCCGGATCGGTTCAGAAATGGAATTTTCTATTCGGAACATACGTACATTCAGACAGACAGACAGATATACAGACATACATACACACAAACAGACATTCAGCTTTATATAGATTTGGTCCAACCGTTGTTAACTCATCGTTCTTTGCACAATGATTTAAAGTCCCATGTACTTCAAGCAAATCGTAGAATTCTGCCGAGTTGAAGAGACTCGGCTTCTAAATAAGCTTTCAAAAATCTATGTGCTCTATGTAGATTGTACACGATTCAGTGAAACTTTTCAGACACTTTTGAATCTTTATATGGCTCTAATGTTTTAATCGTATGTCATTGATCGATACTCTTCAGTAAGCTAATGAAAGATGAGTTAGAGGAGTAGCATGCATATGCAAAACGAACGAGACCATCAACGAATTGTTAAACAATAATAGCAACATCAGCTATTAGATAGCTGCAAAATCCCCGTTCAAATTCGAAACAACATGTAAATTCCGAAGAAATGATTGGATGGAGAACATCGACAACGAACATAACAACAATGGACACGTGGCCTCCATGAAGGGCGATACATTCAAATATGAGAATTCTCTCATAATTGTTTAAACAACAATGTACAGCATATGTAAAAATGCATGTAAGTAACTGACTAGAACTAACTTTGACACACTAATACTCATAGGTCTTAATTGTGAATTGGACATCCTTAAAAAGAAAAATACTAATTTTCTTCCCTCTAGCTTCCGGTAAAAATTTGCTCACAATGTCTAAATGTTGACCTCATTCATTTCAGCGACAAAAAGTGATATCACGTCATACCAGCCTTACTTCAAATTCTAGATCCATTGGAAGACCGCTCTTCTTTGACCTCCGGATATAACCCTGACGAACATCGATCTTTGTCTTTGGGCAAATTCTCCAAGCTCCAAACCCCACTAACTATGACGGGTGTGTCTCTTGTCATTGTCGATGTTATGGAATTCCGAAGAGAAGCTATCCTCTTACAAAGCGGCAAATTGAAGAAACTCCTTTTGATACGTCGGTTGATAAGAAGGAAATAGTACGGTGGCGTCAAAGAGTTTAGATCATAGCAAAAAGGATACAATCGTATCGTCAGGACCAATGCTGAGGAGTGCCAACCAAGCAGATAGACGCAAAGCTGAAATATCCTTTGACATTCTCACCTTGACAGTCTTTGCAACAAAAAAAATGAGCACATATACTAGAAACTGGTTTCCAATTGATTGGAACGGACAAGTAAAACTGGGACTTTTTATGAGCAAACTATTTACAAGCAGTCATGTCAAACTGAAAATGTGATTCTCCAATTTCTTTTTTTTTCTGACCCGTGTCTCTGAAATTATCATATGGGCACAACGGGCATTGCTTATGATCCGCTCAAAACAACATTTCAATAGTTAAATATCTATTCATATGATTCAAAGACACTTTGCTGCTAAATCACGGAATATAGACCCATCGCCAAATTTACTGCCAAGCTCCTTTGCGTTAATCAATACAGAGAGTCACTGCCTGTGATTTTTAACACTGCATATTCCTCACTACAGCTTAAGCAAGCAATTTCAAAGAAAAAAACAATCAATTCAATAGTTTACATCATAATTTGTTTTTTAGCCTGCTCTAAAACGTAAAAAACGATTGACTGTAAAATCAAACAAGTCAAAAGTGGATTACAATCAAAGAGTGAGATTAAAAGCTTAAAAAACATACCGTCACCACTGCATTGAGCACTTGAAATGCGAAGCAAATACAAGAAACGAGATAAATTCGTTTTCGCACTCGGCGATTGTGTACTGACGTAGTCCTCTTGAGCATTAGTCCTGCTACCAAATTGAGTATCAAACCCAGGACAGCTACCGCACATTCGAATATTACCAAGTAAAGCAGACGCTTGCGGTCATCACGCTGCAACAAATGGGTAGGGACATCTCTTACAAATGGAAAGACGTCAGACTTACCCCGCCTCCTGACATAAGGAAATAGCCTTGTATGAATTCCCTGTATATAAACGACGCTTCGACCAGTAAAAGGTTGTAGGAGAGAGGTAATGGTGGAAGAAAGATTATGAGAATGCTTATCAGTACTTCAAATGGCTAGAACACTCAATTTACTTCTTGGAAAAATTCTGAGAATGCGTAGAAAAACTTACGTAATCTTTGGCAAAAGGGAAAGCGATGGCTCTGTATTGGTTGAATATAAACAGCAGCTCTGTTGCATTGATACAGAACGGGAGATAATAACAGAGAAATACAACAAGCCGCAGAAACAGTTGCGGAAGACTCTTCAAAATTGGAGCAATAGGCGATGTCTGTGCCGTTGCCATTGGTAGACGCAGCGAGATGTATAAGGCTATGTAGTTTGAAATGCTCTGAAATATTTATCTATTACAAAGGAGAACGAAATTATTGCTACAAACAGTGTTCTCTAACACTTCAGTGTCCATCATATGACCTCACTAGGGTTTTTCTTCCTCACGTATCCATAACATGGCCTTTGAAAGATATTAGATATTCCCTTGTTCCTGTTGCATCATACGTCATCCTCCTGCTCCCACTCTTCTTAAGATCAGCATGCTCATCTATCCAAGTACTGACTACCAACCCCAACTATATTTTTGCAAAAACCAATGAAATCGTTATTTGAAGGGAGAGTCGCTCTCGTAAACAGTCTTCCCACTTATCCCCTTTCAAACAGCGTTTACGATAATCGATCACATAAATAAAAGCAATTGGAAATCAAAGACTGTTATCATTTATAATTAGCATGCTCACTTCGTGTGCCAACTCCTAGCACCGAAACTCAAAGTTTGTCAGAAGATTATTGAATCAAAATGGATCAACGGCAAAAACTAGCCTAAAACACCCCTCCCCCAAGGTGTGTGTGCGCAAAGTCAGTTTTGGCGACCATCTCAGAAATAGAACCTTTGAAGTGTACAAACACGTCGTTTATATGCATGAAAACGGATATGAAGCTTTATAGTAGCTGTGAATGAGAAAAAACTCACCACAATAGCAAAAATGATGAAGAGAGCTAGGAAAGATCTGTTGAAGTGCTGGCGTTCTCGAAATAGAAGATACACGACAATGGCGTACAGCATGATGGAGATAGCTCCATAGATGTTTTGGAAGAGGAACCACATCCCTGGAAAAGGTATATTGGACCATCTAATTCACTTAATTACATTACCACAGACTACAACTACAAAATCAAGAAACTCTGAACTACTAGGTTGTCTCAAAAGTAAACCGTATTTTTGCATAAATCAAGCTGTTCTTGTTTTTCTGGCAGACTTGGGGACACCGTTCAATAGAGCGAAGCAAGATCTACTAAATGACCACCAAAGAATCGTCTAAGTCGTTATTTAGGTAAAATTTGGACCCAAAACTAAGATTTTTCAGCTACCATAAAAATCTCCTTCCAGAAAATTCCTGCGGACTTCCAGCTTGGTCCTTATATAGTGGAAACATTGTAGTATCGAAAAATGTTTTTGGTTGATTTCTGCCGGAGTTCAAAATGAAGAAACAAAGCGGGTCCCAAAATGCCAAAATGCTACTTTTTTCGGGTTTTTCATGTAAAACTCGGTATTTCTCAACTAGAAGAGCACATATAGGGGTAAAGTTTTGAGGTTACTTAATAAGGCTTGTAGTGTACAATGAGATATGTGGGAGGGGCTAGGGGCGGAGTTTGCCATTTTTGGACAATTTCATTTCTCGCTTTCTATGCTCGGAAAAAATTAGGCAAAAGCATATTTGAGTATTACTATTCGCCTACTGTACAATGAACATGTTGGAGATCCGTGGGAACTTTCCTCGCGAAAATTCAATTTTCATGTAATAAATTTTTTTTTCGATTTTGGCTTCAAACTTCACATGGAATGCAGCTTAGGCGAGTCCTTGGTGGTCATTTTGCAGAGCTTGCTCTATCGAATGGTACCCCAAGCCTGCCAGGAAAACAAAAATATTTTAATTTATTCAAAAATACGGTTTTTTGGGACAACCTAATATAATTATAAAACAAGTGACGAGTTGAAAAGATAGAAATTGTGCCTTTCACTGTCATTTGCAAAAAAGCAAGGGCAAGGTTTGATTAGATTAGAGGTTAACGTCAGTCAATTTAATGAATAACTTGTTTCTATAGATTAAATTACACGCGCCTTAAAAATAAAGCAAAAACAAACTATAAAAACAAGCTTACAATTTTGCATGTTTCCTATCAGGGTACTGAACTTTGTCCAGCTCAAAGGAATACTAGAGATAGCTATTGTGAGCTTTCCAATATTTTAGCACAGAATCTGTAGTCTTGAGATATAGGAGTTGACACAGTGACTTTACTTGATTAGCAGATGAACTTTAGGGGGTTTGAAGGGTTGAATATTTTTCCTAGAATATCCAAGCCATAGAATATTCAAACACAAGATCTCAATCCTTAGGTTAGGTGGAGCTTATCTTGGCCATAATAACAGTATGTCCTCCAAGTACATAACATACGCGTCAGATTAAGGATTGGTAATTTATTGTTGGAGTTATTGAGTACTTGCGTGGTATGAAGTCGATAAATATTTCCACGTAAAAGTTCCTCTGTTTCTTGTTGAATACCCATTATCATCGTATTCTTCGAAACAAAGAAAGGTTTCTGGTTTTATTCTGCCTCAATGTCATCATTGTGCGCGTTAAACTGTAGAAGCTTCAAAGAACAATGAGCTTTTGAATACTTTTCATTATATCTACTGACATCACACCAAACATCAATGCACTCCATTTTGAATACAATTTTCAAGAGATTTGTATTCACAAACATATACATTGTATAAAGTTATAAATATTAGTCTGGCACGAAAGTTTGCGCGCCATTTTCAAAATTTCACAACTTCTAATTTTTCCAGCCGATTTGCTCGTTTTCATCTTTGCTTGAAAAAGTAAGGCATGCTCTTTATAACATCTCCGCTTTCTCTGAGAATACATTGCATAGATAGAAACGGTAGACGGAAATACCTTTATACTATAATTATAATTTTTCTAGGTGCGGTCGAAAAAAATTCTAATCTCGCGCTAAAGATCCGAACACCTTGGTATTACAGATTCTATGACCTGCTCTTTCCACTGAGCAAAAGTTATGTTGATTGAGCTTTCTGTGAAAAGTTATGTTTCTGAAAAATATCTCAAAAATTCAAATTTGCTGTTGTAAACTGCCTGGTCGTCACTACTTTTCATAGAACGGCTCAATCTACCATATTTTTGCCTAATCAAAAAAGCAGGCAATAAAACCTATTAGTGACGACTTCTCCAATTTTTATATCAACTCTCAGATTATTTACGACCACACTCAAGAAAACGAAATTTGACTGGTTTTCTACCGCTTCTATCTATCCGGTGTATGCTCGCTAGAAGGCCATTAACTATGATAAAAAGCTTGATTTGCTCTCTCGAACTAAGATAAAGCAAGCAGATCGATTGGGAAAGCCACAAGTTATAAATTTTCAAAAGTGGTGCGACAAAATTTTACGCTTACCTAATATTTGTATTTAAGAAAGCTTAAAAGTGAGTAAGATCATTGTACTTTGAAGAAAAACCAACATTTTTTGTAATAATTCTCCTTTCAGCAATTCTCAAAGACACTTCAGTCCAGAATTTGGATAATTTTACTACTCAAAATCATTGAAGTTACAAATGCTCCTTCCTCAATGAAGACTTCCGCCGAAAACCTATGGATTCTTTTCTTCCATCTACGGTCAAAAAGAAAATGGGGGAATTTTCTGTCTAAGATAAGAATTGTTGTAATAAAGGAGAACAAAAATATTCAGAAAGCGTATAATTAGTGCGACAATTCTGCATAGAACACTAAATAGTAAACGTTTGCATTTAATATAAGACTGACAATGTCGGGCATACAACCATTTACTGAGAGGTATTTACTTTATAACACAGCGTTCGATGCACATATAGCGCTGCAGATTCAATAAAATAGCATATCTAATAGCAAGGGGGAGAAACTTTATACGTTGTGTTCACCAAAAAGTTCCATATTGCTGTTTTTCCGAGAGGATTCTTAGCGCTATGTGAGAATTTGACGTGGACACTACTTATAGATGCACTTATGTATGCAGAATGCACTTACTTGCTACTCAAGTGGTTAAAAAGAGAGTACTGAATAACATAACTGTAATGGATTATTCGATCGTAAAAAACGAGCGTGATTTCAAACAAAAACACAAAGGGCGTTTTCTACATTCTAAGTGATGCTATAAAGTAGTAGAGAAGTTTTTGAACGTTCTATATGGCTTCTCTGACCTGAAACTTCAAGAATGGACAAAAGTGTCCAAGTATTACTATGGGCAATGAGCTCTGTCGCAGTCTTCAATTTGAAAATTTCCTATACATGATTTTGTGGTGCACCTGGTAAGTTTAGATGCATCAAAACCTACTCTTCTCTATTGATTTCATCTATTTGTTTTCTTTATTTGAAAATCCAAACAAATTTTCTCGGCTCTAAAACCAGAAATCAAAAGAGCCAAAAAATTACCCACGACAACTACGTAAAAAAATAGGTCACAAATCTCAGAAAACAGTACAAAATGATCTGCGACGTGTATCAAGAAAATGCTTTAGCTATTCGTGTGCTAAAAAGTTTTGAGTACTGAAATTTTTAGCAAAGAAACGAGTTTTATCTTCGCCTTTCCAATGTCAAAGCCAGGCAGCTGAGGCAGTCCTGAGAAGATAACTGGCGGGACAATGCAGTTGACAGTAAAGATGGTCTTTGATACAAAATTATCGATCTAATAGATAACTCACCAAAAATTCATTTTAGGAACCAGAACATTGCTACACAGTTTTGATCCGCCTACTTATGAAAATGGCATTCAAACAATTGGTGAAAGGATGGGAGTAGAAAAAGTAATCACTCTTTATTTTGCTGAACAATATCAATGCAAAAGGGCATAATTAGAAAAAAGATATCAAGTGGCATTTTCAAATTTCATTCTCCTCGACAATTACGCTTATTGCAAGAAATCCTAACTGTAATTTTGTAGGAAATGGAGAATGATGCGGGTTCTTGCATAGCAGACTCAGAACTTTCGAGCAAATATATAATCACGTCAGGTTCATTACAAAATGAGGAAAAAACTAGGACAAAAAGGAAAGAGGGCTTAACAACCCGATAGATCATCTTTCAACAGCCAAAGTGTAATAAACAGCACCAAGCCTTAGCGCGAAGCGCAGAATTGTACACATAAATAGAAAAAGCAGATTAGCCAAGAAGAGATCTGGTATTTACGATCTATAAAAAGCTCTTAGAAAATTTGGCTCAATCTTTGCATTGAAAACTTTAAAGGCAGTAGGTCGGCAGAATGAGACCCGTGGCAACACAAGGTCACAGGGTAGGAGCCCCCATAATGGAACCTATGGGCCAAAGTTCGATCTTTCTCTGCCACTTCTAACCCCCGAAATTTAAAAGCGAAAGCAGCGCTCATCTCCTGTCCTCTCCGAACCCGCCCACCACATGGACGAGTGAACGCGGAGCCCGCCATGGCGAAGACGCAGAGTCGTTGCGGGACCTCATGCTTATAGCATTGCGGCTGGCGCTCTGACCGTGGAACAGGACCCGGCACCGATGGTTTGTGGTCAAACTAGACTTCGTTTTTGGAGTTAGAAGCAACGGGGACATCGTTTTTATGAGGTCCTAAAGGAAGCGCCAAGAAAACACGACGAACATGTCAGGTTTCACAAGTTGAACGTGTTCTTTCGCAGGCGCGCGAATTTCAAATGCAAGACTCAAACAAACAAATGGCTTGTTTACAGCGCACAAACAATCACATGGCTCCGAATTTGGGCTATGAGTATACAATATTACTCCAAACTATGTTATGTAAAAAATTCCCAAAACTTATGTGTCTTAATATCCGTTCTCGAATTTGTTGGTTTCTAGACCAACTATCAAACCAACTGGGTTGGTTCGGAGCATAAATATCGGAGAGTTCACATAAGTTTTGGACCTTTTTGACTTGGACGATTAGAACGGTCAAAAATCTATCATATAGTGAAGAGAGCGGATCAAACCGTTGCCTCTCCCCTTTTTTTGAGCCAAAAGTAGTATAATTCTACGCGTTGATAGATATCGCGCTCCAATCGCCTGCGGTGCCCT